TAACAATCCCCAAACTTCCAATCACCACAAATTCCCCACCCCTAAACCATCCAAACATCCACACAACATACCAAGTAATGCTGTCTAACAGCTCACTGATGGTGGCCCTTTAGTTCATTGCTGAGTGCAATTATAGCTCTGGGATTAAAAGCTATTCAGAAAACGTGCGGTCCGAGTTTTAATTGTTCTGTATCTTCTGCCAGAAGGCAACAGCCCAAAAAGATTGTAAGCAGGATTGGAAGAGTCTCTGAGAATGTTATGCAACTTCCTCAAACAGCGAGATTTGAAGATGTCATCTGGAGTCCGATGATATTCTGGGCAGTTTTAATGATTCTCTGTAGAGCTTTTCTGTCCGCTACAGAGCTGCTCCCATACCATGCAAGAATGCCGTATGTCAGGACACCCTCAATGGTGCTGCGATAGTAGGACAGAAGTAGATGCTGAGATAGATATATTATTAATGCGGTCCCACAAGATATAATAAACAAATATTAAAAAATAAAGGAAGTTTGTTAGCTGTATACATTAAACTATATTATATATTTTATAAATGGCCCAAAACAATTCCTCTTCATTCAGTGTGACAGGCAAGCCAAAAGCCAAGATGCTCAGCCTGAAACACTCTGATTCTCAGGCTGGTGGGTCTGAGAGGGTATCTTTTGGGGATTTTATTTATTTATTTTTATTTTATTAAATTCATTTGCAGCCTATCTCCTCATGGGGCTACTCTAGGCGGTTTACAATAATAAAAAGGAAAATGAAAGAACTTGTAAACAGATGATAATGATGATGATGATGTTATCCATTGAGTTGTATCTGATTCTTGGCCCAGATCTCTCCACCCCTTCCAATCTTTTTTTTTTTTTTAATTTGATTTATATGCCGCCCTTCTCCGGAGACTCAGGGCGGCTTACAATGTGCTCAGCAATAGCTTTCATACTTTTGTATATTTATACAAAGTCAGCTTATTGCCCCCACGAACTGGGTCCTCATTTAACCTACCTTAGAAAGGATGGAAGGCTGAGTCAACCTTGAGCCTGGTAAGATTCGAACCTGCAGAAATTGCAGGCAGCTGTGTTAATAACAGGGTGCATTAAACCACTGTACTACCAAGGCAATCTTGCATTACTTCTTTTGAATTTTTCTATTCTCTGGCTGGTGTCAGCTTTGATGATATCCAGCATCATGTTCTTTGGCAGCCTGGTTTCCTTTTACTGCTAACACTTCCCAGCATAATTGCGTTCTCCGGTGAATGTAAACAGAACAGTAGTAAAATAATAGAACAATAAAAATAATGATGACAAGAATAATACATTGGCAATAGCAATAGTATTTAGACTTATATGTCACCCCATAGTGCTTTTCAGCACTCTGGGTCCTCACTTTACTGACCTCGGAAAGATGGAAGGCTGAGTCAATCTTGAGCTGGTCTGGATCAAACTGCAGATTGTGGGCCAGCTAGTCCTTGCAAGTACTGGTTCGGTGAACCAGATGTAAAATTAGTATCTGGTTTGCCTGAACCGGTCCAAATTGGCTGAATCCCACCCCTGCCCCCCCCCCCCAAATGGGCAGGTGAAGAGCAGAAACAAGGAGAGGACTCTGCCTTCAATCCAGGAGCCATCTCCATTATGGAACTCCCCTATTTGTCCAATCAGGCCAATCAGCAAAGCCAGATCTTCAAGCTCTTGCAGAAAGATAAGAGGGTTTGCTAGTAAGGCTTTCCTGATCCTGAATCTGAAATGTGTATTTCTGTGCTATGTCTATGTGCAATAATTACTCAGGCATTTTTGTTGTTGTTGTTGGTTTAAAATATTTTTTCTTTCCAAGGCAGTTATTCAAGATAACTGTTTTAAAGATTAAAACTGGTAGATATGCGATTACTATAAGTGAAAAACGTACTCTGTCAAAACCTTAGCAGCAGACCCTGGCCAGGGAAACAAACCTTACACGGAGCTTCATTAATCAGGTTTAGCATCAAGAAAGAAATAGTTAGGATACAGGATGTTGGAAGGTGAATACGCAAAATTCCACCCTCATTCATGAGCAAATGCATTAAGGTGATGTCTCAGAATTGCTTGAACCTCTTTTTCCCTGAATGCAAAATTAAAGAAGGGTTGCTGGAACTGAGTATGTTTAGTTTGATAAAAAGAAGGACCAGGGGTGGCATAATAGCAGTGTTCCAATATCTCAGCAGTGTTCCAATATCTGCCACAAAGAAGAGGGAGTCAAGCTGTTCTCCAAAGCACCTCAAGAATTCTCAAGAAGCAATGGGTGGAAACTAATCAAGGAGAGAAGCAACTTAGAACTAAGGAGAAATTTCCTGACAGTTAGAATAAATTAATCAGTGGAACAACTTGCCTCCAGAAGTTTGAAATGCTCCAAGACTGGAAGTTTTTAAGAAGAGGTTGGATAACCATTTGTCTGAAATGGTATAGAGCCATGATGGCGAACCTATGGCATGCATGCCAGAGGTGACACACAGCGTCCTCTCTGTGCACACGTGAGCCGTCACCCCAGTTCAGCTCCGCCGTGCATGTGTGCGCCTCCCGCCAGCCAACTTGTCTTCAGGTCTCTGCCATGCATGCGTGTGGGGGCGGGGTGTATGTGTGGGGCTGCGCATGCATGCATGTGCATGCAGGGCACGTGCAAGGCGTGTGCGCATGCACATGGGGGTGGGGTGCATGTGTGTGGGGTGTGCATGCAGGTCAGGGCACATGCAGGGGCACATGCGCATGGGGTCAGTGTGCAAGTGGGGGCCGCGTGTGCATTGCATTTTGGGGGTCAGGCACACGCGCACGCTTTGGGGACTCGGTCCAGAAAAGGTTAGCCATCACGGTATAGGATTTCTTGCTTAAGCAGGGGGTTGGACTAGAAGACCTCAAAAGGTCCCTTCCAACTCTGTTATTCCATTCTAAAGAGCAAATGCCATTTTGCCCAGAATAAAGCTGGCACTGGTGCATCCGTCTCTTTTTTTTATTAGCCATGTTTTGAAATATCCTCTTTTGTTTCCCAGCCTCAGTAACATTCTCTGCTTGGTCTCAATGAGGTGCCAGTCTTTGGAAGCTTTGCTTGGTTAGCCATGGATAAAATAACTTCCCTCTTGCCTGCCACTCAGAAATGCACTGACTCGAAGTTGGCAGCAGAGTAATCTCCAAAGTAATTGGAGTTCTTAGGAAAACGGTGTTAGGGTAGGCAACTAAAGGCTCTTCAGGTATTTTGAATCTCAATTTCCATAATCCCTGAATACTGCTCCCTGATTAGAGAAACCCAAAACACCAAGAGAATGTTAGGTGATGTACCCTTCACAGTATTTCAGCCACAGAATGTGATCAATGTGCAAAAGAAACATGTTCTTGTGCCTATTTCCTTTTCAGTAGAAATAAATTACGATTTTTGCCAATGCATTCATGTGAGAAATTTTCTTGAGTGCTCTATAATACTGTTAATCCTCAATTTATGATCACAATTGAGCCCAAATTTTCTGTTGCTAAGCAAGACAGTTAAGTGAATTTTGCCCCATTTTATGACCTTTGTTGCCACAGTGGTTAAGTGAACCACTGCATTTGTTAAGTTAGTAACACAGTTGTTAAATGGATCTGGCTTCCCCATTGACTTTGCTTGTCAGAAGGTCACAAAAGGTGATCATATCAGTGGTGGGTTGCTATTGGTTTGCCCTGGCTCGGGTGAACCAGTAGTGGCGGTGGGAGGCTATGCCCACCCGCCTGGACGTCTCTGCGCAAGCGCCTGCATGCCCGTGCCCAAACCCATAGCGAACAAAATTGAAACCCACTACTGGATCACATGACCCTGTAATTATGTGCCAGTTGCCAAACATCCAAATTTTGATCAAAGGGATGCTGCAAATGTGAAAAATGGTCATATGTCACTTTTTTCAGTGTCGTGTAACTTTGAAAGGTCACTAACCAAAGGTTATAAGTTGAGGACTACCTTTATATTCTTGCATGAAAGATAATAACAGTTGCACGAACAGTACTAGTATTAATACTTTTGGCTAAGGCAGAGATGGGCAAATATGGCCCCTTTATGACATGTGGACTTCAACTCCCAGAATTCCCATCTCAGGAATTCTGGGAGTTGAAGTCCACAGGTTGTAAAAGGGCCACAGTTGCCCACCTCTGGGCTAAGGGGAACAGCAGGTACAAAAAATGGAGGGGGGTGGTGGCAGCAGCATTCCTTTTGGGGTCCCCAGAGTCATCCATAATAAATAGCCCCCCCCAATTTAGATCACCTCTTTGTCTTTTTTTTGTGCTTAGCTCACCCATTTCACTTTTTAAATTGCTAGAACCATTCAAAATGGACTTTGTAGGAATACGCATCTTGTCAGGCTACATCAACTCCAGGGCATCCTTGATCAACTTTGTGCAACCATAGGGTACAATCATTCGGCCCCACAAAATTGCAAACTCAGATAGCTCCTGGCAGAGGTGGGCTTCAAAAATTTTTAGCAAAGGGTTCTCTGCTTGGTTGCTGGGTGAGTGTGGCCATGGTGGGCGTGGCCTAGTTGGCCTCCTGCACCGTGGCGGGGAGGGCGTTTTTGCCCTCTCCGGGCTCTGGAGTCTTTCCTCGAGCCTCTGGGAGGGCGAAAACAGCCTCCCCAGGCTCCAGAGGCCCTCCACAGGCCCGTTTCCAGCCTTCCTGAACTTCTGGTAGGCCCTCCCTCCGTGTGTTCCGTGCACTTACCTGACATCCAAAACGGACTGTCTGAGGACTCCTGGGAGGGGAGGGGTGGGGGGGTGGGGGGGCCAGCCAGGAGTGGGATTTGGGGGTTCTCCGAACTGCACAGAATCTTGGCTAGAGGTTCTCCCGAACCCCTGCAGCCCACCCCTGGCTCCTGGTTGATATCACTACCCACACATCACAGTGCCATTCCTTTGTGAGGAATGCTGGAGATGTGCAGGATAGAACATGGCACAACAACTAAAAAAAACAGCCTTTCCTTCTCTTCTATCTTCTAAACTCGCTCTAATTCCTTTTCTCAGCTATCCACTGCAGCCTCAGTCCAAATGGTATCGATCTCTCTGTGTGTACTGAAGGAATTAGCCTGCAACTTGAAGGTGAGCGAGTGGAACCAACCTCACTTAAGAAAGAAACCTCTAAGTTGCCTGAGTTGAAAGAAACTCTCCAAAGACAGTCCCTGGAATCAGAAGCATCTAAGGTGGGTAATACCATACCATGCTTCTTTCTTTCTTCTCTGCCTTCTTCCCCAATATTTGTAAGCTGTGACAAACTCTGGTCTGTATGCAAGATGGGGGAAAAAAATACCCCAAACAAGGTTGAAACTCACAGTATGTAATCAAAATAATGGATGCTCACCCACAGTCACCCCAAATCAGAGGTATGCTTGACCTGAATGGTCTTCAAAGCACTGCAAAATGCATGGAGGATCAGCGCTAAAAGAAAAAACATGTTCTAGAACCATGATGGCGAACCTATGGCACGCGTGCCACAGGTGGCACGCAGAGCCATATCTGTAGGCACATGAACGTTGCCCTAGCTCAGCTCCAGCGTGCATTCACGCACCGGCCAGCTGATTTTCGGACCTTCCGGTCCCACCTGAAGTTGGGAAACTGGCTGTTTCCTGCCTCCGGAGGGCCTCGGCGGGGGAGGCCCTTTTTGCCCTCCCCAGGCTCCTAGAAAGGCCCCACAGCATGGGGAGGGTGAAAAATGGGGCTTCCGGTCCCTGGAGGGCCTCCAGGGGGTGGGGAAGGCTGTTTTTGCTCTCCCCAGGCTCCAAGAAAGCCTCTGGAGCCTGGGGAGGGCAAAAAACGGCCCTACCTGTCCCACTGTGCCATCACGGGGGAGTATGGGGGGTGGTGGGGCACATTGAATTACGGGTGTGGGCACACACACACGCGACCCCCTCACGCTCCCCCCCACTTTTGGCACGCGATGGCAAAAAGGTTAGCCATCACTGTTCTAGAATATGGGTGCTACTCCCAAAAACATCTATCACCCAGCTGATAGCTTCAAGCAGGCTCTCTCTGCTGAGTTGAAGGATCTTCAAGCAGGCTCTCTCTGGATCAGAGGTGGGGAACGTTGGCCCCTTTATGACTTGCGGACTTCAACTCCCAGAATTCTTGAGCCAGCATGGCTCAGGTCATAAAAGTCATAAAAGGGACATTGTTCTAGATCATCCTGTTCTAGATGATTGGATTGGACAATCAGAATCACATTTATGCGTGCATAAGTGCACCAATGTACCTACCGCCCCTGTCCTACTGTCCCCATTTATTCATATCCATTTCATGTATTCATAATCATGTTTATACTTATATCTGTTATCTTATACATGCTTGACAAAATAAATTATATTAAATTTAAAAAAATGCAATTTTGCCAAGCAGTTCCTGAGACATCTCAGTACCATCTCATACCCAAAAGAGGTTTATAGCTAATAACTAATATTAGATCTGTTCAGTTGCAAGATGACCATAGGTCAATGCAGTGAGCGTGCTTTAAATCCCAAAAGGTTCAATCCTCATTTTCTCCAGCCAAAAATAGCAAAAAGATGGGAGCCTAGGAGGAGAAGAAATATTAAACAATATTTTTTTTTCCTCTGGCTGAATCTGAATTAATGTATTTTTAAAAAAATTCTATGTACAAACCGAATCATTGGTTCTGCTCAAGCCTAGAAGATTTGAAATCGGAACCTTCCTGTGTCTGTTTTGTAGAATATAATCTTCCTTTTACTTTTTATGCATTGTATAGTTTAAAAATTATTAACGTTCTATTTTTAAATAGCTTAGAAAAGTGAGAATTTAAATAGAGAAAGAAAAAAAAACATCCTATTAATGTTTTTATAATCACAAATTAGGATGGCAGTATTACAAACATGTTCTTTCTCAGCTTTTTCATCCAAAGGTAGATATAACGGTGAAAAAGAACCACTTCAATTCACATTAAAATAAGTGTTATATACTAAACAAATCAATTGTCAGGCATATAAAACCCAGTCCACGTGTGAAGCTTCAATTAACCTCATTTATTGCTAAAAGCCTATGCACAGGAATCTTCTCAACTAGCAGTCTGCACCTGCTAAGTTAGATACAGCCAGGTTAATGACACTCAGAGGGGTTGGACTTAGTTCTTTTATGGCTACGTAAGGATTCTAGGCTGATCCCCCTTTTTACTCTGCCTCCAGGTTTTGCCATCTCTTCCCCCAAAATTATATAGCTGCCCATTTACCAAAGGGAACTCGGGGCAGTGATATCTTGGAAACTGGCTGCCAAATGAAGCAGTTGGGTTGGCACATGACACTGTCTCGTGTCTTATTTAATTAGTTGACTGAACAGACTGCAATTGTCTATGTTTGCACAAAACACCAAGCAATAAATTCCTCATACTTCAATCCCTTAGAATCAAGGAATGGAGCCATAGATGCTATTCATCATCTGTTATGTCTGGGTTAAAATCTTCCATCTGAATTGAGATGGGCAGTGTAGAGAAAAAAAAATAGTTCTTCAGGCTAGATTTTGGCATCAATTTTTCCATTTAGCCCCAACCACTAGGACAAATCAGCCCAATAGGGCCATGGCAGGGAGAATGTGGAGGGTTAAATGGGATTAAAATCACCCATTTCAATTTTTAATTCCCTCCATCCTATTTCACCTTTAACAAGTAACTCAGCAAACAAAAGATGATTTTGGTTCTATTCCTTTTCATAAAAGCTTTGTCAAACCCTGAAGCCTGGGGTTTGCCATACTGGGAGAGGGAAGGAGCCTCTGCACTGGTGATGGGGGTTTTAGAGATCCGGAAGCTGCAGCGGCATGCCAATGAATGCCAAGGACCAGCTGGTCGGCGGAGAGTGAGCCGCAGATCAGCTGTGCAGTGGGGAGGTGGGGCAGTGTGAGGCAAGTGGCCTGCCAGGCCTCGGAGCTCCAGAGAGAGACCCATCCAGTTAGCTTCCATGCGAGTGGCATCTTAATGCTGGTTTAGGTCTGGAACTTGGACCCTTGAGATGCTCTGGGGCTGCAGAAAATTGGTAAAAGGTAAAGGTTCCCCCACACATCGTACTAGTCGTTTCTGGCTCTAGGGGGTGGTGCTCATCTCTGTTTCTAAGCCGAAGAGCCAGCGCTGTCCGAAGATGTCTCCATGGTCATGTGGCTGGCATGAATGAATGCTGAAGGCGCACGGAACAGTGTTACCTTCCCATCAAAGGTGGTTCCTATTTTTCTACTTGCATTTTTTACGTGCTTTCGAACTGCTAGGTTGGCTGAAGCTGGGACAAGTAACGGGAGCTCACTCCGTTATGTGGCGCTAAGGATTCAATTCGAACCGCTGAACTGCCAACCTTTTGATTGACAAGCTCAGCATCTTAGCCACTGAGCCACCACATCCCTTAGAAAATTGGTAGTAGCCTGTAAATTCTGTATCTCATCTGTGAAGGAGCGGTTATGCAATGCTCCAGATTCAAAGGCAAAAATCGGCTTGGGAGCAGACAGAGTTGCTCATTTAATGCTTGTTGGCAACTCCTTAAACAAAATTTTACTCTCCCTGCGTCCCTGTTGTGGCTGCAGATCTCAGATGAATGACCTCGAGACAAGGCATAGCTGCTCTGAGCGGCTATTGGCAGATGTTAAGGTCTATCACTATGTGCTCCAAAACACCTTTTTTCTTTGAATCTGGAGGATGGACCAGCACAATGATAAACCAATGCTTAAAAAAAATCCCCCCACAGCATCTGGGGTCAGGCAGCCTATTAAGCCCAGGTTGAATTATTCAGATGTTAGCTTAGCACACCAAGTGAATGCAACTGTGGTGGCTGAGCAAATGATTTAAGCCTACTGTCTTTGTTGCTGGCAATGACTGCAGCTGCTGTGAGCATCGTTCCTTACCCTCCATTCTGCTGGAAGCTCAAAGCTTGATATTCAGAAAATGTATCGTCATGAAAAGCCAACCTTCTAGAAGAGAATACTTTCTTTTTAAAAAATAATTTGAGAGTGACTACCATATAATGCCAAGAGGTCTTACAGTAGCCCTTTTTGTAGATTGCCAATTGCAAAAGATATCAGATGTTGGCTATCAATTGTCTACTTCAAGGGTCTCCCAACGTGGCAACTTTAAGACTTGTGGACTTCAACTCCCAGAATTCCTTAGGGAGTCATGCTGGCTGAGGAATTATGGGAGTCGAAGTCCACAGATCTTAAAAGTGTCAAGGTTGGAGATCCCTTGGTGTACTTCAAAGGTCCTTTCCCTCAAATAGAGGTAGTCCTCAACTTACTACCATGATTGAGCCCAAAATTTAGTGAGGCAGTGAATTTTTCCCCATTTTATGACCTGTCCTGTCTTAGTTGTTAAGTGAATCACTGCAGTTGATAAGTTAGTCACCCGGCGGTTAAAGTGAATTTGGCTTCCCCATTGACTTGGCTTGTCAGAAGGTCGCAAAAAGGATCACATGATCTTGGGACACAGCAGCGGCAGTGGTAGGTTTCTACCAGTTCGCCATTTCCGGCAAACTGGTAGCGACAGCGGCGGGAGGCTCCACCCTCCTGCCTGGACGTCATCATGGACCTCTGCGCATGCAGAGAAGGTTCTGTGCATGCACAGAAGCGCTGTGCGCTCTCGCAGTTCCGAACCGGTAGTGAAGGTAAGTGAAACCCACTACTGAGCAGCGGTCATAAGTATGAACCAATTGCGAAGCATCTGAATTTTGACCACATGATCGTGTGGATGCTGGAAAGGTCGCAAGTGTGAAAAATGGTCATAAATCCCTTTTTTGCAGTGCCGTTGTAACTTTGAACGATCACTAAAACGAACTATTGTGAGTCGAGGGCTACCTGTATGTGATTTCTGCTTCGGTTTCCCTTTCTTATGAATTTACTTTCTTTAAGAGAGGCAGAGTGTGTCTCCTTTACATACAGGCCTTATTGTGAGAAAAGGCAGTACAGAGTGATGAATGTACTTGCATGCTTCAGTCCAGTAATTAAATCTCTTTAAGGGTTTAGTACTGCTATTCATTACACCTGAGCAACAGTTAGAAGATTGTCATTGGGGAGAAAACCATGCCAAAAGATTATTATTCTCTGCTTTTCCTCTTGTAATTGGCTTGACATCGAGCACAGATTTTTTTTTTTTTACTTAAGAGTCGTAAACATGTTTTACACTGATTTGCTGACACCTCAGTTGATTCCTTTGCTAATATCAAGTGTCATTTAA